TGGTTCTACACTCGCTCTGCACACATTCGTTACCATCGCCATCGTGTTAACCACCGAGCCCTCCGTTGAACGGTCTACCCTCGAGCTTGGTCAACTTTGTCACAACAGCAGCTATGGCGTTCTACCCAAACTACCAGACTGCGTCGGCATACGATTATGGCTTCAGCACTCCTTTCCCCGGAGCCCCTCTGTATCAGAATGACTACATGGAAATGCTACGACAGCAACAGGCAATGATGAGCCGGGGCCTGTTCCCAGCAGCCGGGGGAAAGGCTACCGAATCCAAACCGAGACTTGCCAAGGACGAGGTCGACAAGCTTGAGAGGGAATTTCAGAAGAACAACAAGCCCAACAGCAGCTTGAAGAAGCAGCTCGCCGAAGAGATGAGGGTAGACATTGCGAGGATTAATGTACTTTCCCCTTCAGCCTGGTTTCCTGGAATACATCCACTGACAGGTCATAGAACTGGTTCCAGAATCGGCGAGCAAAGGCGAAGCAGGAGAAGAGGACACAGGAAAATGAGGCTCGCCGCAAGTCTGAACAGGCTACCGAGACGTCCATCAGCTCCGAGACTATCAAGGAGTCCTTCCACGACCACGACGACGATCTTCGCCCGTCCGCTGCCCCATTCCCACCCGTTCACGTATCAACCGACGCGTCGTCTGTTAGCGAAGCATCACCCTCGGAGGGCACCCAGACCCCAGAGCCAACGTTTGAGCAGCCACAGGTCGTTACGCAAGAGCCGGAATCAGAATACGCCTCGCCCGATTCTTCCAACTCTTTCCAGCACCAGGATCTCAACATCGGCTACTCCCTTGGCCCCGACCAATTCTATTCTGGCCAAACACCCTGCGACTTCTCGGCACCTATGCCTTCAGAAGTCATCCACCAAACACCTAACCACTTGACTCTTTCGATTCCTAGTCAGTACTTGACGGCACAGCTTCCCGAGTCAACGAGTGCCTCTTCGTTTTCGTCGTACCATCTGAGCGCAAGCGACATGGACGAGTCTTTCGCTTCCTTCCCGCACGGCCTGACTACCGGCATGACTAGCCCAATTCCGATCAACGTCAAGCAGGAGCAAATGCAAAGCGAAGATCTCGACAAGTTTGATCAGTTCTCCCCCCAGTCAATGTCCCGGTCCCCTCCCGAAATCTCCACACCAGACTTCCGATTCAAGTCCGGTTCAACCATCGACATTGCCAGCAGAAGAAACTCCAAGAGGCCCGCTGCCCTCGTCAGCTGCGTGCGCAGCCAGTCCTACAACTTCTCGGGGCCGAAGACCGGCATTGAGATGCCCAGACGCATGGAGGCACCTAGCCCGATGCGCCGCGTTGCATCTGCGACAGGAAACTTCCCGAGGGGAATCCAGAAGCCGGCCGGTTCAGGCCCGAGATCGCCAATGTACTTTGATCGTGCCCAGGAGAACCTCCTCTTGCAGATGGCCTCAAGGTCACCGATATCGCGAAGCCCAGCAGCGCCACCAACCCCAAACACACCAATTGTTCCCAGCCAACAAGCTCTGCGTGAGACTACCGTCTCATCCATGTCCTCGGCCGAGGATGACAAGAGCTACAGCATGCAGAACAGCCTGACAGTACCGCAGTATGCCATGGACCCTACCATGAGGACCCCGCCGGACACCCCCGGCATGATGACGACGATGCCGAACTCTCTGTTTCCCGCGTTCGACTACAACGTTTCCGACGAGCCGCTGTCGACACCGAGCTTTGGCAGCTTTGATCAGGAGTTCCCCAACATGTCGTCGAGCGTACCCAGCTATGTCGCACACGGTTGCGCAAGCCAGCCAGTCACACCTTCATTCCCTCCCAATAACATGGGCCCGGCGTTCTACTCATCGTACGGTGGTGGCAACACCGAGTACAACTGGTCGGATGCCTCGTCCGTCTCAGTCAAGCCGTCACCCGAGCAATCACGGTCAAGACAGTTTCAGTTCACCAACATGACTGCACAAGATTTCCACGGAGAATGAGGTGTCGTTCAAAACGTGGCTTGAACTTTACATTGGCCTTGCAGAGTAGAGTTTTGAGGGGTTCTATTTGTCATCACAGCAGTCAAAAAAACTTGCTCATCATGTATACTTGGCGCTGTACAACTACCAAGGTTTTTCTACTGCGTGGATTTTCACTTTGTACATACAGCGATTTGCTTTATCATTGGGCCATCGGCGCTTCACCGGGACTACCTTATACTTGGACTACACGGGTCCTCCTTTTCCTTTATGTCTTTGTTTATCTCTCTTCTGCAGCAACGATTTTCCTTTCTCATGATACCTACTGCATACACCAAAGAAACAAATCTCTTTACCTAATGTAATGATATACATACGGCTTATGTCCTGCTGGCGGCGGCGCTGTTTGTGGCTGGAGAGGGTGGGAGAGGAGAAGAAAAAAAGGGACCTGGATAACCCCATTGGAAGCACAGGACAGCTGGCGGAAGGGTTCGAGGTTACGCGTCTTCTACCGCGTTGGGTCGGATTATGCCTCTACCTCTGGGGTGTTCGCGGCGGCGTGAGGGGAAGAAGGCGACGCTGAGCAGGTCAGCACGTATAGGATTGCAAAGTTCGAGGTGCAGGATGGGGTGGGATGGGATTGAGCTTGGATAGATGGATGGATGGTACGGGAAGGACAGGGTAGGATAGGGCGTTCATCTTCCAGCGATCTACCTCCAGCTCCAGGTTAGGAGACGCCGAACTTCACCTTAGGGAGGTCCAAAATCAAAAAAGTATTTGCCGCACAGTCCACCGGGCACCCCGTTCACTTCTGGTGAACATCAGATGGAATCGCTTGCCCGGTGTAGTCCCCACCCACACCGAGGGTATCGCGCCTTCCCATCAGTGTCATCTGGTATATAAGGGGTCAGATGTGCCTGTCCTTTCGCCCACCGGACGCGGTGGGACACAGAACGTCGACGGGCGTTTAGCCGCAGTAGCCGAGCGGGTTGTAGTCCAGCTGGTAGAAACTTGAATCTTGAGACAGAACTGCCTTGATAGTGATGGTTTCATAGGAGCTCGAACCTCGCAAGTTCGAGCTCTGAACTTTTGCATTTTTTACCAATTGACTAATTGTCATTTTCACGTATTTGGTCGGTACATTGCTAAAGAATGAATCATTTATGTCAAACGAGCATCTGGAGAAGAGTTATGGATGATGAGGGTGATTGGACCATAGTAGAATTGCATCGCGATGCCTAGGGTGGTGTTGTTTACCTTTTGGGGCGGGGCAATCCCGCGGCAACGGCAGGTCACGTTACCTTGGGTGAATACACGCTGGCCGTATCTTATCTAACGAATAATCGCGACTGCGCTGGTAGAAGCAATCAAGCGTGCTATGGTTCACGTACCTCTCTCATATCAAGGTAAGGTAAGGTATTTCACTCATGTGATGCATCCATTCGTGAGTTCCGCGAGCGCCTGGGTGAGCCGATTTGACGTCCTAGGCTGCTCATATCCTGCTTACGGGGCCCCATGAACTACGAGTTGCATCTCATCGATATATAAAACGCTTAGAGTTACCTTCTGGCTACTTTCACATGCTTGGATATCAATTTCCAAGAGTCTCATGGCCGCAACCAAGCGCGTCTGACGTTGAAGGAGATGTAAGGTGAGGTGAGGTGAAGTCGCAGCAGAGTTCCATTGAAGAACATCGGTCCCACTCTTCCGAAAGTCAATTGGGCCAATGGCATCCGAGCGGTCATTTTGCGAGGAAGGTCCCTCCGCCTCGGCATTGGGTTTTTGGGGAAAGCGGTTCGTGTGGGGAAAGAAACAATGTCAAACCTCCCGTCGCAGTCCACTGCGCTGCAGGAATGCGTCTGATCTGCAACGTCTTTCTTCGATACGTCTCTTCTTCTTTCTAATTCTCCGAAACAAAGACAAGGCTTGGGTTTTGACTTCACATTGAGTTCAAGATATATCCACATTCCTCGCTCGCTCTTTGTTCGACCACATGGTCCGAGGAATGCGGACGATACCTACTCACATTCCAGTCAGTTTCTGCGTCTGGCACGCGGATACACTAAGACCAAGCTCCAAAATCCATGTTTTGGCTAAACTTACCCGCACCGAATGCCACGTTGAAAACAAGACACACACACAGCCTTCCGCATTCCGCATTCCGTTTGCCGCTGGAACGCTGGAACTCCTTTTCCCCTCGCGCCTGAAGACCAAGGTACCTACCTTCTCTGACCTGGTTATCGGAGACATCGAGAACCCCGAGCTAAGACCAATCAAGGTAAGCCAAGGTGGATGTTCGTTCAATCAACATTTCCAATCGCCCCCGAATCTGCCAATCTCGCTCTCTGTCTGGTCCCAGGGACACCCCAGGTTTTCTCCCCGCTCCCCGCATCAACCTCCACCGGCTTTCTGTCACGTCGACAATCGACTGGGTTTCTTCTGCCGTTCACCACAGCCGGCATCCACTGCTACCCACGCGGAGATGACCCTGGTCGGTGGCAGCAACTCCGAAAGAGGGCATCATTACCACTCGATGGGGAGTTGCTAAACCGCTTCTGGTGCGATCACCCTCTTCATATCTGCTTTTCTAATGCGGAGAGGAGAAAACACCCGGAGTTGTTCCGACTCTGGAGGACAAAAAGTCCTGGTCGTCGACTCGTATCGGCCCCAGGGCGCGGGGCCCAAGTAGTGCATCACGCCTTGGTTACTTACTTGGGGCGATGACGGAGGGCCGGCAACCTTGCGGACGTCTCTCATTCGATCTCCGTTAGCTATTCCCCTCGCCATGTAGAGAAGCGAATTGTGTCGGTCCGATAGACCCCAGTTTCTGATTGCCGTCCATCCTTGTCGAACGAAATCTCGTGGCCATGTTATACTAATGGGGTGCGACGTCGTAGTACCTTAGTAGACGATGTCCTTCGACATGAAGAGGTCACGGTATAAAGAGGGTTCTAAGGTCCCTGACGGCCGATCTCCCCTTTTGCCGACACCCAAGCCTCAACCGGATCGATATCGGCTTCTGAAGAAAATGGCATTCTTTGTGTACTTCCTGGCTACGGTCCTGTACCTCTCCGCGCCGGTGTGGTCAGCCGTTATCCGTGGTAGAGACAACGGTCCCGTTGTCACTGTAAAGAATGGCTCTTACTCTGGCATTCACAGCGCAGAGTACGGCCAGGACTTTTTTCTTGGAATGCCATACGCCAAGGTACGTGGCTGGAACCTTCGTTGGATAACGACATACTGAACATTCTAGACTCCTGAACGATTCCGCATCGCGCAAGGCCTAGACTCAGCATGGAACGGCACGCATACAGCCACCGAGTACCCAAAGCATTGCGTTGGTTATGGCTCTGACATGATTGGCTATGAGTCTTCGGAAGACTGCCTGTATCTCAATGTTGTTCGCCCAGCCGGTGTCGCTCCTGACGCACAGCTTCCCGTAGCTGTGTGGATCCACGGAGGCGGTCTGGTATGGTCTTTGACCGAACCCTCGCGAGAACCATTGCTGACAGTGACTAGTACATGGGAGGATCAGCCGACAGACGATACAATCTCTCCTTCATAGTCGAGAATAGTGTTAAGCAGGGTACTCCCCTCGTTGCGGTCAGCTTGAACTATCGTCTATCCGTCTTTGGCTTCCCCGGTGGCAAGGAGGCCCTTGAAGCTGGCGCGGCCAACTTGGGTTTCAGAGATCAGCGCCTGGCTCTGCATTGGGTCAACGAAAACATTGCCAGCTTTGGCGGCGCCGCCGACAAGGTCGTCATCTTTGGTGAAAGCTCGGGTGCTGAGAGTGTCGCTGGGCAAGTGCTGGCCTACAACGGTGAGCTGACACCATTCGCATGCGAAATATACTTTATGACTGACTTTTTCAAGGACGCAATGACGGCCTCTTCAGAGGCGCGGCTGCGCAGTCCGGCTTCGGAGGGCTCATCCCCCGCATGGTCGGCGGCTTCAACTCGACTGCCTATCAGACCAACTACGACCTCTTTGTCGGCAACATCTCCTCCTGTGCCTCCACTGTCGGCACTCAGGAGTCAATAGAGTGCCTGCGCACAGCACCTCTGGACGAGTTCAATGCCGTGCTGAACGCAACCACGTCACCCTTCAGCTTCGTACCTATGAAGGATGGCGACTTCCTTGCAGACTTTGCGACGTCGCAGCTCGAACGCGGAGACTTTGTAAAGGTCCCCATTCTGATCGGATCCAACTCGGATGAAGGCTCTGCATTCGGCCAGGGAAGGGGCCCGAACGGAGGACCGATCAACACTGATGATGACATGGCATTTGCCGTACGCAGCATCATGGCTCCCAATGTCGCGGAGACCACGGGCCAAAGCATCGAGGAGCTTGTTGATGAGGCATTGGCTCTATACCCCGATGACCAGGCCGTCGGCATTCCGAGCTTGCAGACGTGGCCACACATCATTCAGCCCGGCGAGGAGATTGCCGTAACTCGGGGTCTGCAGCAGAGACGCGGCGGGGCTTTCTTCGGAGACATGTATGTCCTGTTGACTCTTCGGTATAAGGCGTGTATGTACTGACTTTCTGGCAGGTTCTTCGGCTTCCTCCGCCGCAGAGCTAACATCATATGGTCCCAGAACGGCGTGCCGTCTTACGCATACCGCTTCGACGTTACCGTGAATGGAGTTCCAGAGTACATTGGCGCGACTCACTTCCAGGAGGTATGTTTGTTGATTGCGACGTGGCGAAGACATTCGCAGTTCGTCAGCTGTTGTGCAAAGACTTACCCCCACCCAGGTCGCATTCGTATTCAACAACCTCAACGGCCTTGGCTACGACGTAAACCCTTTTGGAGGCAACAGTACAAGCTACACTGAGAAGGCCACCGCGCTGTCAAAGACCATGTCCGCAGCGTGGGTCAACTTTTTCGTTTCTCTTGATCCCAATGGCGCTCCGGATCTGGGCGAGTGGCCTGCCTACTCGACGGAAGGCGGTGCATCTGGTAGCGACGTGGTGTTTGGCCTCAACGGCACTGTGTTGGAGACGGACGACTGGCGGGCGGAAGGTATGAGTTGGATGATTGAGCACGGGCTTGACATCTTTGGGAATTGAGTTTTCCCTGGCTCATACGACGCGTTCAGTACGTGTTGGATAAGGTAAGGTCCATACTGTGTGAACATCTTCAGACCTTATCTGCCTGGCGATATGTACATAGGCGATTTAGTACGTTCATTCATGTATATTCTATACGAACAACTCCACCTCCCAAGTTGACAACAACCAACCAAACAAGCTAGGCTTGAGAGCCAGACCCGGAACTGCCTCAACAGACCACAAGTTCCTGATCTCCTGCATCGGAAGGAGTGGGCAGTAGGATCCTTTCGGTCCTTTGATCAACTCCAAGTATGCATAAGCTAACCGAGACTTTTTGCGGCGCATAAGAGAGAACTAACGTACATCTGAACACTATATCCAGTTTCAATGAAACATCACCAACTCTAAGAGGTCCCGCTATAAGCGAGCAAGGAGGTGGAGTTTTCCGCCCGAGAGTTATACATTGGTTGGTTGGATGGAGGAGCAAAGCGATGTCTCACAGTCTCGTAACCAGCCACCTAGACCGCGGCTAGGCCTTCGGGTTTGCCCGACGAAATTAACAATCGACAATTATACTTTCCATGGACTAGTGATTAAGGTAAGTCGATGTTGGATCCTGCCCCCGTTCATCAGGTTTGTCATTTAGAGGAATGTCGTGGGCTGATGTTCGCCCACTTTTCTCTCTCCTCCCCCTGTCACAGCCCTAGGCCGTGCCACATTGCCCGGGCGAAGGCGGCTCGGGTCGATCCTTGAAGATCTGGGGGGAGGGGGAGGGGGATTGTGCATGATGCTAAAATGAAATTCTGTATCAACACGAAGTCGCATTTTTCCTGCTCCTTTGATGGAATTTGCTATGTTGTTGTCGGAAGCCACGGTCGGAGGCACGGGATGTGTTGGACGGCGTAGCTTGGTAGAAGCTTCCCTGAGCTTTGATGGTTTGGGTACTTCATCATATTGCCTCGATTAGCATTGGATCTGTTAAGTCTCAATTGACCAGAGTTATGTTGGCTCTGAAGCCGACGATACCGTCACCTCGGTCTTTTCGTGGAATACCCACCCCGCCGGAAGGATTCGAGTTTCTATTACAAAGTTACTTAGGTATTCCTTCCGCCCCCATCAACAACACCCCGTATGCCCGGCGGAATCCTTCGCCCCACTGGTACAAAAGTCTAAACAACGCCCAGCCCTATGCCTTCTAGACCAATCGGCTACCGTCGAGACAACCGCAGTAGGAAGCTGGTGTCTTTCTCTCTCGCGTTCGTCTGATATTGCCAAGAAAAAATTGAGAACTTCGAGACTGCAGAATGTCATGATCTGGAGCCTGTAGTGCTTCTTGGCGCTTACGTTGTCTTTGCTAAGCCTTTGTCGCTTCAAGATACCTTCGGAATGCTGTTACCTAAAATTCGAGTTGTCAGTTCTTTGGTTTTGCCCGGCGAGGAAGAGGCAAAGTCAATACAGCCTGAGCTAAGCAGGGCTGAGATGTACGGAAACTCGTCAGGAACTTTTGATCCAACTATCATGAAGTGTCCACAGGTTCAGATTCCCATACGAGACGAAGACTGAAGTATTGATGGCCACCGTCTTCTCATGCAAGTCTCTAGAATATATAAGCACGTCTTCCGTCCTCTAATTCATGACCTCTCTCTCCCTCATCATCTCACAACAACAACTACTTCTTCATATCAAACTCCAGAGCTCTAAACTCACTCACTACATTTCATCTTTCAACAACCACTTTCCAAGATGCTCATCACCAACATCCTCACCGCCGCCACCACGGCCTGCGCCATTTTCGCCCCCGCTGCCGCGGCCTACGACATGAGAGTCAAGAAATACGGCAAGACGGACTGCTCCTCGTCCGGCGGCGGCAACCTGGACTGGAACGCCAACGAGTGCCACGCCCTCTACAGCACCGACTGGGGCATGAAGGTCATTGACTATGACACCAAGTGCAAGAGTAAGAAGAATACCAGCCCTCTTCACCCCCTCCCCGTGACTTCCTCGAACCATAGAGAGTTAGAGCATGTCTGACTAATGGTGTTAGTGAGAGGATACAACAACGGAAACTGCCGAGGCAGTGCGGTTACTGCCTTTAGCACCAGGCAGTGCCATTCTCTGAAGGGAGTTTGGTCCGTTCGTGTTGAGTGCGAGTAAGGAGCAGCAGGTTGTAGAGTACTTGCAACCGAAAATCGACCTCGGAAGGAGGGGATAGATGGGGGGCACTTGTTACGGCATCAGAGTGAAGGGCACATAGACTTCGCACACACAAAAAGCCGGTTCTAAAACTGTTCCCATCTTCCAGTCGTTCAAAGCTTCTTTGAGTTGAGCGATAATCAATGACTTACACTCTACGTTCCCAGGCTAAGAAGCTAGCGCCACTGTGTGAAATTGATTGGTGAATATGCCGTGTGATCATACCGTATTATGTCTACCTAGTACCGTCTTGCACCCGAATAATCATGAATAAGGTATATTTCTTCTAAAAGAAAAAAAGGAAATATAGTGATCTTCACTCATCCCCAGATAAGTAAGTGATCATTCTACCTAGTTTGTTGTTGCTTAAATTCACGAGTGATTTCTACTCTTTGTGAGATCGTTACGTGTAAGTCTGGTTCCTAAAGTGTGTCGACACCTTTTGGTACTTCTTCCTTGAGTTGGTCATAATGCGTCATCATTGAACTACACGTTGGTGTGACTTGATCTTTCTAAACCGACAAATAGCCCAGAACAGACAAGACAGGGCCATCAACTCCAAGAAAATTACAGCCAGTATCCCGCCCCATCGAACTTGACTGAGAAACGTGCCAGGCGATACTACGCCATGGCGCCCAAACGCCAAGCTAGTCGCCGGACGTCCCAAGTGATCTAGATACCAGAAGTGTTTTGGGTCATTTATACAGTCTCCTACAGTAACCGGTTGGAAGCCCTTTTGTAGGAACCCATCTAGTAGATCGCCGATACTGTGATTACTCTCTTTTTGGGACCCTCGTATCGGGATGAGAAAAGAATCTCGCCCGGGGTCTGCCGCTTGTAGTCTGTCGAGGAGAAGCGTAGTCTCCGTGTTGTTGCTCATGTCTGCCGGTCCACCGTCCCAGAGTACCAGTCGCTGACCATTTATCGTCAACTTTTCAACGCAGCCATTCTGTACTGTGCAATCGACCGGGGACGACCAAATGTACTGTGGTCGAAGGCCTTCAGAGGAGGACGAGGCTCCGAGAATCGTGGAAATCTTCTGGCGGGCTTTGAGGAGGTCATCATGCTCCACGCCGCTGTGGGGATGACGACTCGATGTGCTAAATCCAATCAGATGCCCGTTTTCATGTAAAGTCTGTACTACAGATTTTCTGTCGTTGTCTTTCATTGAATCTGCGGTCCATGGAGTGCTGTGTAGGAAGAAGGAAGCTTGTGCATTTCGCTGGGCGAACAGTGTCAGGATTTCATCCTTTTCGATCCACGAGTCGTCATCGAATGTGAATGATACTGTTCCTGGAACCTTGGAGCTATATCAGATTTGGGTACACTTTTGACGGAGGACTCAAGTGGTTTTGTGACTTACAGTACATTTGCGGATGACTTGACCGTGTTTTGACAAGATTCGGGGACTCATAATGGTCTCTGAGCCGATTCAGGTACGCTCCTCGACAGACTCCGGACTTTGAACCAGCAAGAGTTCAGGAACTCTGAAAGATGAATGATATGGAGCGAGAGGCCTCACAGGCGGGTTTGCCCCCATTCACTTCCATACCCCCTTACCCCCATCCCTTCGGCATTGCTCGCGGCAGAATATCTGTATTCTTGCCCGAGCAGCAGTAACTGATCCCAGCTCACACGTGTTATGTAATCTTCTCCGTTGTCGCCATGTTGTGTTGCATCCCACGCTTACCCACGTTCCCCCTCTTTGCCGGCCCGGAACTCTAAATAAATGAAGCAAGCGCTGATATGACGGGTTCCAGGCCGTTCACTGGCCACTCCGTATAAGCTTATGGATCCCGGCATACTGTGTAGGGGTTCAATGTAACGTCCGTTGCCACGCCGGTGGCTGGGCGCTCCGACTTGCTTGCTAATACCTGCCGTAAAGAGAGAGAACCCGAAACCGTCACTTGCATTTTTCAGCTTGGACTGCATGAGACCAGAAGACTGCGATGTTCTCGTACACGGCGAAGCCGTTGGTCGATGGAGAAATCGCAGGGGGATGGGCGCCAAAACATTCTGGTTCTGTCTTCTGACTCCGCTGCTTTTCTCAGACTGAGTGGCGGGTAGAGTGTTATCTGCTTGATCGGCTTCTTTCCTCTTTTGGATTCAAGAGAAATCTCTATACGCTTTCGTAAACATTTTCCCGGAAAGTATAGCATGAGCGCAGATTGTTTGATTAACTGTCTAAGAAGTCGCATCCACTACCACAGCGGCCATCACCTTGTCAACCAACTCTGACTCCGCAGTGTGAGCAATCCAATTACAGAAGCCCAACAGACAAACGTGAAGTTGGCGACTGTAGAGAAACAAGAATACTGCAGTTTCTTCCTCAATCTCGAGTACGAACCCTCGGTCCTTAGGACGCGAGTCTCGTCCGACTCTTTGACGTCTCCTTCGACAGCCATATCACCTTCGCTCTCATGAAGAGCATCCGCCAACAACAGAGTACTGAACCAAGTGGCAAACACGACGAGACAACCCAGATTCATAAATGTAACCCACGGAGAGAAGTAAAAGCCCCGTAGCCACGAGATCACAATACTCAGGTATGAAAAGTTGGCAAACCCCGCGCAGAAGATCATCAGCATGGGATGATAGTCCGGCGTTCGGGCATTCACCTCTCTCCTGCCGCCATGTTTCTCCAGGTCTTCAGGCAGCAGTAGCTCGGGCTCGCTCGAACACCGGCGAGCAAAGCATCGAGTGAAGAACCTCGCCGCATCGCGAAAGGCTAGACGAACAAGCCCGAGCACCCAATAGGTGTGGTTGCTCCTCTCCCAGCGAACGTACATGAGGAAAGCCTTCAAAAAGGTCTCTGGCGCGACTGTGTAGCCAACAGCATTGCTCTGATACTTGAGACGCCAGCCATCACGTAGGAGTCCCATCGTGAGCTGGACGTCCTCGCCGTGCCTCATCGGACGCCCGAGGAATCTCGTGTCCACGAGGGCCTTGGTGTGCGGCAGGATGGCGTCTCTGCGGAATGCGGAGATGGCGCCTGGGAGAATGGTGACGAACCCGTGTTTTGACTGCGCCGCTCGCGGGATGTTGCCGTTTTGTTCAAAGAGGCAGTCAAGGATCCGAGGGATGAAGCCGTCCCATCCTTGAGATTGGATGTTGAAGACGGAGAGGTGGCCGGCGACGCCTCCGACGTCGCTGTCTAGGACGAAGGGACTGACCAAGTTCCGGAGAGTATGCTTGTCGAGGATAGTGTCGGAATCCAGAGTCACGAGTATCTCGTTGCTGGCCACTTCGAATGCCGTGACCATAGCCTGGCGTTTTCCACGGTTGACCTCATGCCGGATTGTTGTATAAAGAGTCGAAGACTTTGGTGGAAGTGCGTGTTGTATGTGAGACCAGGTATCATCCGTCGAGCCGTCATCCACAACGATGATGTGGACTTTGTCTCTGGGATAATCTGAAGACAACACGGAGTTTATTGAGTTCCTCACGAACCCAGACTCGTTGTACGCCGGAATAATGACGTTGATAGATGGCAATCGGCCATTGTTCTTGAGCCCCTGGATGGGTTCATAGTCAGCCCACCGCGCAACGACGACTAAGAAGTTACACAGGAGGATGCAAGAAAAGAGTTGAAGGATAATTTCGTAGGGGCTTAGTTGGGGCTTCGACTTGACTACAATATACTGAAAAGTCACAAACGTAGAAATCGTGCCCAAAGCAACTAGGCGGCCAATGGTCGACCGAAAACACGAAGCCGTCATCCTCGCTCTGTGAGTTCCTTTGCGAAGCGCGGAATACAATTTCAATCTCGCAATACTTGATCCAACAGCAGCTTTCAGAGTCTTGTCAATTTGTGTCTTTACACTGCGGAAAACGTCGTCCCCTTTAGGAAGTCTTCCGAAGCGGGGACACCGTGAATCTGGACCCCTCTGATGTCCCCCTCGGTATTGATTGCCACTCTTGATCGACATATAGTGGAAACATGACCCGGAATGCAGGTGATCAGGGATACCATCACGAACTAGATGGACCCTTAGATGCGACAACATGAATCGTTGAAGCACTTCACCGCCATCTGCTTTTGCCGCGGTTGACGGCGGTGTGGGCGGGATGGTTCTTGGTACGACGTTGAGGCGATCCCAAACAGCCTTCTTGAAACGGCGGCAGTGAGCTTTTCTACCGCGCGAGACGAAAGTCTAATCTGAGGAGGAAGAATTGGCCTGGAATTCCGTGATTGCTTGTCTGTTCTTTGCCTTATGTAGTCATGGCCACCACGCAGGTCTTGACTTGATCGAGACAAGCATCTTTCTTCTCTACACCCCAAATTAGACTGTAGACAAACCCTTCCGCAATGGTTCAAAACTCAACAAGTCTACTGGCATGTCTGCTCATCCTTTCGGTTGGAGTGGACAGTCACACGCTTATGCAAAACCCCATTCCTTTCCCAAGTCAACTCCGGGACAACGGTCCAGTAGCCAACGATGGCTCAGACTGGCCATGTAAGGGCGAAGTGGATTACGATTGGTCCGGCGTGGCCAACATCTGGGAAAGGGGCTCAAAGCAATACTTGCAGTAAGTCAACCATCTGTACAGGCTGCTACTTGAAGTAAACGTGTTGACGACTTACACAGGGCCATGGGAGGCGCTTCCCACGGCGGCGGCTCGTGCCAAATCTCGGTGACACGGGACCTCAAGCCCACAAGGAAGAGCCAATGGAGAGTCATCCACTCCATCGAGGGCGGGTGTCCGATCCGGAACCTCACCGAGGTCAACTACGGAGATTCTCCCACAGTCGTCCTGCCTAGCCTCTACAACTTCACCGTCCCGGACTGGCTGCCCGTAGGACCGGCCGTTATGGCGTGGACATGGTACGGTCGCTGGAGCGTTCCCGAAATGTTTATGAATTGCGCTCCCATAGTGGTTCTGGGCCAGGAGACGAACGCAGACGTCACTGAACAAGAGCGGGCGGCAAAGTTTGACCAGGCGCCCCTCGTGTTCGAGGCTAACAACGGCAACGGCTGCTGGACGCAAAATAAGGGCAGCTGTGTAAAATTCCCCAACCCGGGCGAGTCTCTCGTGGTCAACGAGGAATGTCCTTTGTACGAGGAGACAATGTTTACGGGGAAGTGCGGACCTGAGAGGAGTCTGGGAAACCTTTGGAGCTGGCCGTCACAATGGGCCATCTTCAGTGGCGGTGCCGTTGCCGTTGCTCTTGTTCTCGGAGCCATGCGCGCTGCCAGGACTTGGCGCGGAAGGCAGAAATACGCGCATCGTAAGCTCGCAACTGACGATGTCTAAGTTTTTCGGCTGAAGATTTGAGTCGTTTGGTGTCGTTTGCCGGGGGACCGTGTAGGGTTCATGAGCACTAAGTCTAATGTTGGGAAGGTTCTAGAAGCAATATCACGACATCAAGCCTGAAAACGTCTCTATCCGTTCTTGCGTGAGTATGAAGTCCTCGCTGACAGATATAATAATTACGTAAGTTGAGCCTTTCGGCATGAGCTATGCCTGAACTTTCCCTCAACGTATAAGGCCATCTGTAATTGAGTTCAAGAGACGCGAGCATTGTGCAAGTGACCACCAAAGGGTAGCTATTTCCACGATTGCTGGTTGATCTTATACATCGAGTGACTGACTAAATAACTTTTTTTGAGAGTGTACCGCATGATTCGAGGCGTGATTGTAACCATGTGTCATAGCCGGTGGGGTTGAAAGGGTCAATGGCATTGAAACCGTCCGGTTGTGTTGTTCACCTTGAAAACAACTAGCAGCAAAGATTACAGGGGCGAGGAAGTTATAGAAGATTTTGGAGATGCGTCAATGAATCAACTTAAGCTTTCTACCGTAATGAAGACATAAAGAATCCTGCCCTTGGGCCTGCGGCCACGCATGCCGGCCAAAACCCCACTTCCGGAGCAATCGGCCGACTGACAAGACACCCCCGGGCCGAGGTGGGGTTCGAAATTCGCAACCGCCTTCCCCTCCCGGGGCCGGGGCATGTGCTGACGTGAGTTTGGACGACGACCTACCTTACCTTACGTTTCCTCTCCACTTCACCCCTGCTTCCCATCCATCTTCCAGTAGCCATGTACTCAATTGCGTGATGAGTGCATGCTTGACCTCAACTGAATTCCTCGTAATCCAACGCGTGTACTTGTAGGAGTCACACCGAATGTCGCAACGTTGACGGCGTCTTTCAAACAGCTAGATTATAAAGCATCATCGATCTCCGGATGCAAATGTGCTGATGTACGTTATGATCACGTATATCTGGTCCATACGGAGCAAAACTGCCTCATAATCGAGACTGTACAAAACCCCGGCATCCATCGTTGGCTTTAGGTCCGACCACATCTCGCACCATCAACGCTCAACTCTTACTTACACCAAACCCATCGTCACGAAAACACCTCAAACCAAACTCCCAAAAAAAAACCCCAAAACAGCCGCAATGTCCTCTCCACCGCCCATAATCCCAAAATCCCTCCCCCCAAACGCAAAAATAGCCCTCATCTCCCCCTCCTTCCGCGTAAACACCCTCGTCCCAACCGCCCTCGCCCGCGCCCAAAGCCTCCTCGCCTCCCTAGGCTACACCGTCACCACAATATTCCACCCCCACGACGAAGACCTCGACCCCGTCCTCTCCGCCGGCGAACCCATCCCCGCCGGCATCCGCAACCGCCTCGCCGAGCTCCGCGCCGCCTTCGCCGACCCCACCGTAGACATGGTCCTCTGCACCGTCGGCGGCTCAACAGCAACAGAACTCATCCCCTACCTCGTGGCAGACGTCGACCTCCAGAACCTCATCAGGGAGAACCCCAAAATCTTTGTGGGCTACTCCGACATCACCGTCCTCCACTGGTCCCTCCGCGCCCTCACCGGCCTCCGCACCTTTTACGGCCCCTGCGCCGTCTCGGAACTCGGCGAGGCCGTCACCTCCACACCTGCCTCTGTCGCCTCGTTCGACTTCTTCCGTGAACAAGATGACCACCACCGCCCGGAGCTCAACAAGACAGAAGACGACGGCTACCTCCAAGACTTCCACCTCGCCCACCTCCTCCAGACTCTAAGTACCCCAACCACAACTCCCAACCCAATCCCCCGCTCAACCTACTACGCCCCCATCACATGCCCCTACTTCCTCTCCCCCTCAACCCGCGCCTCAACCACGCCCCGAACCCTCCTCCCCTCCCCGCCTTGGACCTGGCTCCGACGAGGTCCCCGCACACAAGGCCGCCTATTCGGCGGCTGCCTAACAGTCGTAGCCCGCATCCAGGGCATCGCGCACATATCCCCCCCGACCTGGAAGGATAAGATCATGTTCCTCGAGTCCGCGACTGCCGAGGCCGACATGACAAAAGGGAACCCGCTCGCCAGGATCCGGTCCGCCTTCGCGGATCTGGCAGCGCGCGGAGTCTTTGACGAGATTGCGGGGCTCGTCGTCGGTCGAGCCTACGGGTACAACACGGAGCGGGAGAGGGCCGAGTACGCGGCCGTGATACAGGGTCTCTTGTGTAAGGGCCGGCTAGGGGCGAGCACCAGTTTCCCAATCTTGATGAATGTCGACATTGGACATACCGCGCCCATCGTGACGCTACCGATGGACGCGTTGGCGGTTCTAGACTCGGAAAAGGATGAGTTTTCCATCGCGGAGGCTGTGGTGGTCTGAACGGGCAGCCACTCAAGAAGGGCATGGGCGGGAAGGCGACACAAAAAACGTTTCATGACATATAGATGGGCTGGGTAAAACTAGCCTTTGGGTATTATTTGTATTACATGTTTAACGATAGCTCTCCTAAGCCATACTCGTGTTCAACCTCCCATTGTGTCCCATTCAGGTTCGTGTATGTCATGTAAGAGAGAAACCCCCTTGGTTTCCTTTGCCCAACCAGCCAGCAGCAATTGAATACCTGTGAAAACCCTTGTAACCAGAAAAAGCATGTGAATCCTCGAGGAAATGACTCCGAACGCTTTGCTGATGCAATTTCTGGGGGTTCCCCGGTGTGTATGAAAAATGAGAGAAACTTTGGTCGTGTATCGTTGTTGAAGAATAAAAGTGCTGTGTCGATGCAGCTCTGCTACATCGTGCCTAGTCCTTTGTTCGCGTAACTAGAACTTTTGGCACATCGGCACTGCTTTGTGACGACGAGGGAGCCTGTTGCGGCTCCTGAAGGTGTGCGTCTATAGAGTTGAAGTGATTAACACCATGTGTCGATTTCTGGCCCTAGTAGAAACCGTCGTTGGTGTTGCTCCTACTGCTGGGCGTTGACTGAGCAGAGCTACTAGCGTCACTAGGTGTAGGTGGCTCTACAACCTGGCTGCGGATGGTCATAATCCAGTCGTGTTGCAGGAGTTCGACGGCGGATGCGCGGTGCTTGGGGTCTCTGGTAAAGCATCTCTTCAAGAAGTCGAGACCCTGCGGACTAAGCTGATCGACCGACGGCAGCTGAGGAGGGTTGCCTTGGGCAATGTTGTACATGATGGCCCACTCATTGTCCAGGTTGGCCCAAGGACGACGACCAGTGGCCATCTCAAGAATCACGCAACCCAGCGACCAGACGTCGACTGAGCCGGCTCTGCCAGGGTTCTCACCCTTGATCACCTCAGGCGACATGTACATGGGTGTGCCCGTCATCGACTTGTTGGGCTTGGAAGAAGAGAGGTCTTGAACAAGCGTCTTGCCTTGCCTAGCAATGACCTTGGCAGCTCCAAAGTCGACGTACTTGATGATACCGTTGTGATCGAGGAGAATGTCTGTAAGTTGTTAGAACAGTCATTAGACCAATATCGGGTAGATGATACTTACTTTCAGGCTTAATATCGCGATGGGCAATGCCACTCTCGTGCAGGTAAGCGAGACCCTCAAGCAGCTGCAATGCGTAAACCATGATAACTTGCTCGTCCTCAATGCGGCCGTGCTCTAGCAGGTTCGCGAGAGAACCACCCTGACAGAATTCCATAAAAATGTAGACCCTGTCGCGATGGACTTCGATACCGTAGTACGAGACAACGTTGGGATGGTCGAGCACTTCCAAGACACCCATTTCGTCCTTGATCTGCTCGGCAATGGTGGGGATTAGCTTTGGATCCTGCAAACGAATCTCCTTAACAGCCATCAAGTGACCCGAGTCCAGGTTCATAGCGGCATAAACGTTGCCAAAGGTACCGCCGCCGACGAAATGACCCTGTTGCCAGCGCATCGTGATGTTGGTAGCCGAAGATGAAAGGTAGGCTAGCGATCGGTCGACCTCGTTGTTTCCCTCTAGTACGCGACCGAGAGCCTGCCTCTCTGCCTCCTTGGCCCTCCTGATATCGTCGACCTTGTCAATCTCCTCCAATCGCTGCTCCGTGATGTACTTGGAAGCCTCATGGTCGTCGAGCATGCGATTTTTATCCAAGCGCTTGAACTGTCCAACCAAGGCCTCGATGCGCTCCTTCTCTGCTTGGGCGGCTAGGTTCGATCTCGCCCCCATGATATCAAAGTGTGAAATAAGAAGCGCCATGCAGCCAGCAACCTTTGCCCGGAGCCTGGCGTATTCTTCTTCGCCTAAAGCCAAGATGTGTCTGCCTCTGGTCATCCCCATGGCAAACTCCAGAGCCAAGACCGCCCATCGGAACGTCTTTCGATCTGACGCGATGCAGTCGTCACAGATGAAGCTGACCCAATCCAAAGCAAGTTTCGTCAGCTTCAGGTTGTTCATTTGCTTTCGGTTGCTGTCCATGACAAGGAGAGAGCGTTGACCGAATTCTGTCGCGAAGACAAAGCAAGTTTGAATGAGCTCTTGAACTTCTCTGCCTTCGGTCTGCTTCCGAATGATTTCGACACTGTCCATGAAGTTGTTGGACAACTTGTAGGCAACACGTCTCGTCTCCATCAGACGTGTATTGACCTTGTGCAAATTCGATCTCTGCTCCACAACCAGGTCGACGTGCATGTCGACGGCATCGATGAAGGCTTTCCTGGCATTGACGAGTCGCGCTTGAGCAGCGGCTGCGACTAGTCTCATGTGGCCCTTTTTCAGATCGATGTTTCGTTCCCGAACTGAAAGCTGCACAATGTCGCCGAACCAGTGCGGGCTGCTCTCAGGCCGGAGGATCAACAGATATGGATCACTTGGGTCTTCAGCAAACTGTTCCGGCGAGCTTAGACCCAAGATGGAATGAATCGCGTCGTGTCTGTCCATTAACGAGGGCGAAGCTATGATGAATATGCCCTCCTGCTCGTAGAGATCCGTGAAAACCTGGAAGTGGCCGGATGCAATCAATCTGTCATAAAACTCTTGCAACTTCTCTGGCGTGAAGGATATGCTGAAGTCGGATGCGTTTTCGTAGTTTTCACTGAGCATGCGAGAGAAACGCTGCAGCATTCGTTGTCTTACTCGGACCGAATCTAGGCACTGTTTGTATCTCTTGCTCATCTCGGCGGTGCTCTCCTTCGGCTTAACTTGGAGCTCCTTTTCGAAAGTGACACTCAAACGATTGATAGCTTTGAAGGTCAGGGAACTGAACTGCTCGGCAACCTCGACATCACCACCGAGAAGGTGGCTACCGATTTCATTGGCAAAGTCCCATTCCGCGAATAGCAACTCGGCCTCCTTGAAGGTGTTTTTGTTGCCACTGAGTTTCCAATTGAGCATCTTGAAGTAGTATCTCAGAGCATCCAGCACGACTTGATCGAAAGACTCGTCGATGCAGGGCGGAAGCTCCCAGCCGGGTTCTGGTTGTGTCACAGCCAGGCACTCCAGCTTGATGCGGATAGCCAGTTTGAGAAGTAGCTGAAACTGGTTGATCATTTGATCCTGCATCATCGGATTTTGCTGCGCAGACTCTTTCACTTTCTTAGCGTAAGCAAGGCGCATCTTGATGATTTCCTCAATCAACCGGGAAGGGAAGCTGATCAGCGTAAGCAGCTCCTCAATGTACGGTGGGAGATGTCGCTTCTGGAAGGCGGCGAAATTTCGGATGAGCGTCTGTTTGGACTTGGTGATGACTGTTGAAATACCAGGCAACATGCCTTTGTGTGCGTCTTTGTTCTTTTCATCGTCGAACTCCTCATCATACAGCGACTTCAAGCCGTCCTCCTTCATCAATCGGTCAAGGAATGAGGATTCATCGCTGATGCCATTGCCTACAGGCGAACGTTGTCGAGTCCGAGTGAAATCTAGCTCTTCGTTTCCAACCCACTTTTTGAGAATAGCAAGCTCTGTGTTGATCATCTCATTGGTGTTGTACCAGGCAATGATTGATTCGGACGCCTCATGGAAGAGCGGGGAGTTCGCCGACTGGTGCTCAGCTGCCAGCGAGGTCCAAGAAGGGTACAGACTCTCGGCCTTGTCGATCTTCTTGACCACGTCCTTGACCTGTTCGTATGGTGGTTTTCCAGCTTCGCTCTCGCCCTTGACGGAGAAGTTGATAATCTCGTCTAGTGTGCGGTCCAGCGTCGCGCGAGCCTCCTCGACCATTCGTCTTTGCACTGGAAGATGTCTTCCACATACTTTTGAGCGAATACCAAGCCACAGCTCTGCCTTTTGCCCGCTCTTCCCCACTGCTTGTTCGTTGGATCCAATCAACCGCTTCTTTTCTTGCTTGACGACGTCGCCGGTCAGAACAGCTTCCAGCATGCCGTGCCATTCTAGTCGTTCTCGATTTGTCGGGTCTTTTAAATCTTCGTCTGTGGGTTGCAAATCGTCGTTGCCGTAGAACATGATGGTCTCCTGGTCGTATCTGTCGTCAAAGGGTCCTTCTGATGAGGGTGTCTCCCCCTCCGAGTCGGAGTCGGCGCCTTGGCCAATGCCGTTGATGCCGTTGACGTATCCGCCATCGAACGGGTAGCCATCGTTGTGATCCTGCCTTAACCTCTGCACGTAGGCCCTCTCTTGCTGGCGGAACCTTTCGCTGGGCCGAGGACGACCTCTCGATGATGCTCGGACGGATTCGACGAAAGAAGGAGCAGGTTGCGGCCTGCGGTGTGCGGCCGGGGCATATGTGTTGGAAGGGGTCCTCGCGGGAGCGCTGGGTCGTTGAACTTTGCTCGCGCCATTGGTGTAGGATGCGTCGCCGTCGCTGGCGTTGCTTCGTAGACTGCGGGTTGTGCCATTGGCTACGGCGGCTTGGACGAGGTTGGACATGGAGCCAGCGATATGGCCTTCGGAATACCTGGCGAGAGAACCGAGTTCATCTTGACGTTCGAGTGCGTGGGGGTCGTCGGGTTGAAATTCGCCAGAGGAAGCAGAATTGTCCGAGTCGACGGGGATGGCAACTGGTCGCTGGGGCATGATCTTGTCTGAGCGCAAGTCGTCGTCTCCGTTGGAGAATCGAACAGCACGAGGGGAGGGCTCGGTGGACATTGTGGCTGGGGGGGACGAGGCAGTCGGGTTGTATATATCGGTTGGGAGGGGGGTGGTCCCTTGGTGGTGAGGCGATGGGTGTCCCGATACGGTGGTGGTCAGCCGTTCAGTTCACGCCTACGGAGCAGAGTACTGCGTGCTGCGTACGGCCTCGGTCTGCCGCTCAGCAGTGCAGCTGCTTGTGGATCCTCGTCCGAAAAAGAGGGACAGCAACATGCAATGGAGACTGAGGGAGGCGAACAGAAGACGGAAGGGCAATGCGAGTCGACCGTTTGGGAGCGAATGCAACGGAAATTAGGATGACATGAGGCAACCGTATCCG